TGCAAGCCAGTCCCCCTCGCATACGCCTGACAGATGTCTTTTTCGCAGTATTAAGCCTTTGCAGGGAAGAGGCTTCGGTTTGCCCCCTCCTTTGAGACACAGCCAGCCAGAGCAGGCAGTCCCCGTCCCACTCGCCCGCTTCTACTGACAGCCCGCAAGCCTCCCCTCCAGCAAGACCTCTGCGTGCTGTTAACATTGAGACTTGTTGAATATTGTTCTCAAACTGCTTTGTATTTTTAAAATTTCAGTGCCTAGTAAGCTAAGGTGACGGCCTGCAACTGTGCACCTCTGCAGGTGATGGATGCAGACGGTAGTGAAAAAAACCCTCCCACTGCCTACGTGCTTCTCAGGGCATTAAAAGAGATTTCAAATCCAGCCGCAGTGACTTACAAGTCATCCGAAATGGTTTACAGGCAGGAAAGGAGAAGAAAATAATGATACTGTCAGTAAAAAGACAGGTAGGATATATCCACTGCTATTTATTTAAGCAAAGGCAATAATTTTAAATGATCGGCATTGGCCTCAGATCAGCAACGTTTTACACAAGAACTGGGCTGACTTTATTCAGGATCGAGGATCCTGCTATCATTTTCACTTTAAGAAGCTGACTAGCACTGTGATCAAAATTCAATCTTTAGAAAAAAATTCCAAACCTACAAATCTGGGGGTTTTGGTATTTTTTTTTTTTTCCTCTCCATGTGGAATTGAGGAGCCTGCTGGCTTGCAGTGGAGTATATTTTGTACAGCTAAATTGCTTTTGACAAATGAAACCAAGTTATTGTTAATTACTCAACCTGTGGCCTTTACCAAGCTGAAATATATGATTAAACAAAATGGCTCAGACAGTACATGAAGCTTTGAAGAATGATTTTATTTTTTGAGCTCTCAAAGCCTTTTCTTCAGAAAACAGAAAGCATTTTTTTTTTGTCGTGACAGCGGGAGAGTTCAACGCTCTATATTTAGCCAGTGTCAAAATGCTCAAGAAAAAAAATTGTCAGAAGTAATTTTGTGATCCTTCTGACACAAAAAGCACACGCACAGGCACCCAGATAATATTGCACTCCACTTTGCAAGGGAGAAACATTATGCTTTGCAGCGTGCCTTTTGTGAACAGGCACTCGTTTTGAACCCGCTGCAATAGGATTTTCCAATTTTGATTGATCGTGACAGAAAATGAGCTCCATAACCATGACTAAACTAAATATCCCCCCTAAGAGCCCCAGCATTTCTGAATCATTAATGAGTATAGAGTAAATAATGGGGAAACACACGGGAACCTCTACCTTTAACTATACTAGTTGATGGCTGCCGCAGTAGAGCAATATTCTCGATCTTTCTATTTAAAAATAAAAAAAAAGCTTTCAGAGCTACCTGCTTCATGGCCGATATGTATTTTATTCAGCAAAACTAACAATGCAAAATCGTGTGTCTCTCACGAGGAGCTCAGCTTCTTGGAAGGCACGGTGTAAAAATATCCACAAATGTCCAGCAGCTTTTGCCAATATGGTTAGAATAAGGGGATTTTCCTGAGCTTTCCGTCGCAGCAGTAGAAAGAAAAGAATATTTAAAAAATAATTTAAAAAAAAAGTATTTATCACTTTGTGGGCCGAGGAGCGAAGTGCTGGCGGAGGGGTGGTGGCAGGGCACCCTCCCGAGCAGAGGGCTCCCGGGGGGCTGCTGCTCCCACTCCGGGGGTGGGTTTCCTAGCCTGTCCCTCACCCCCGGGGGGGTGGTGGTGGTGTCACAGGGAGCCCCCCCACCCCAAAGCTTTAGCCTCAGCCTAATATTTTCCATGCCGGACCGTGAGCTCCGGACACTAAATCAAAAGTGGAGGAGGAAGGGAGCTGGGATAAGCCGAGAGAGGAGTGGAGGAAGAGGGGGTGGCAGGGAAAAAGAGAGCCGGAGCAAATTAAAACCATCTCAGAGCAAGGGGGGGGGGGGGGGGGGGGGGGGGGCGCGGGCCCAGGGGGGGCAGCAGGTTTGGGGGTGCCGGGCAGCCCCCGGGAGCTGTCCCCAGCTGTCCGTAGGGCGCCGAGCACCACTGAGAGCATTGGGGGGGCGGTGGTGGGGGTGTGATTAATCGCTTTATCCAGCGTTTGGGGAGCCGGGTTGGCATCAGCAGCGGGAGAGCGGTTCCCCGGGGCTGTGGGCCCTGCCACCGGGCCCGGCTCGGCTGGGCTCGGCTCGCCCGGGCCGGCTG